CCTCCCCAGGCATTGCATATCAATTGAATATGTTATTGACTATAAACGGATTATTCCTATCAGAAGAGGTATTTCAGAAAATAAATGGTTCATTTATTAAAGTGTGTATGGCCACCATTAGGGGGATTTACCCCCTGTTTACTGTTATTACTGAGAGTGAAATGAAAGAAAATCTAAAATGTGATGTTGTCACCAGAACAGGAAAAGGGTGTAAATCTTCCAATGGGGACACTAGCTTTGGTAACAACCAGGGATTCCCTCACTTTGGAGGAATTTACCCTCACCTCCTGTTTTGGCTATGGGACAAGAAAAAAAAAGAAAAATTTACCAGAGATGGCAAAAAAGCTGAGAGAGGTTATAACCATCCATTACTTTATCCAATAATAAAAAAAAATGTTTTGCCTATAGTTTTGCCTATAGTTCTCTGTTAAAGAATAACTTCACATTATCTGTGTAAAACTAAACTCTGTCTATTAAAAAAAAATGTTTGTATCAATCTTTTGACTTGTGCCTGTCCACAACTTTATCCCGAAGATCTTTTGACATTGCCTTGCCACCCATAGTCAATTGTTTGCTTCAGTTGCACTATCAGGGGCTAATCAAAATGACCCCAGCTGATCACAGCTAAAAGTCAAATGGCTCAGTGTGCACACCTGATTGAGTTTTTAGGAGGGGGTCATCCTTTTCCAACTCATTGATTATGTCATTTTTTTTCATGCTTTCATCAGAGCAGTTCAGTGTCACCATAGTGGCACTGTGCTACACTGGAGGTGGTCAGGGATTTTTTTTTTTCGTTACACTGTTATTGCTTATAGCAATAGTTTTAACTGTCATAAATGGCTTTCCATCCATGACAGCTTGCTTACTGTTGACATTCTGTGATTGGCTACAGGGGTGCCACATTCCATGTGATAGCTCTGGGCCAATCACAGCATCACAACAGTAAGCAAGCTGTTCATGAATGAAAGCCATTCTTGTCAGTTTGCTTACATATTATCATGTGATCACTATGATTGGTCACCGTGATCCGCTGCGCAACCTAGGGGACGTACTAGTGCGCATGGACAACAAACCAGTATGTCGTTGTGCCTGCCTATGCCACCCACTAGCATTAAAGGTGGTTAAAGGTTTACCTTATTAACTATTATTTACTTTGATATTTGAACAGCCTCTGCTCCTTTAGTAAATTAAACCCAGTTCTAAATGTTACTGTGGGGAAGGAGGAAGGGGAATTTGATTTTTATCAATTAAACTGCTTTTTTTCTTTAAAAGTGGGGCTATTTAAGTTTCCTGTTATAAACCTGTCTTCTCTGTATTATCTTGCCTGTAGGCCATGCAAATAGTTTCTGTTCCTGGCAAGATCTCCTAATGATGACTTATAAATGCATTACCATTGAGGATTTCCCAAAAATTCCAGCACTTCTGAGTTCTTTTCACATATGGGAACTGTTAGTTTTTTTATACACACACATTCATCTATTAAGAAGAGTGACAAAATTTAGTATTGTTTGGAAAGATAACATTGCAAATTCTGAATGGTATTGACTCGCATTAAATGGAGTCTAGCTTAGCATGTACTAAACCCATTAGTCTCATTATGCAATAAATCAGGGGCACTAGGGTCATTTGAGGTCAATGATCCCATGTGCAGAGGTCCATTAAATCACTGACAAGGATTTCTATCCACTTAATCTGTGTTTTGTGAGAGATCTACATTATATATTATTATACATAGCTTATTTGAAACTGCAGTTGCAAAAGCAAAAGTAATTCAAAGCAGATCTTGCACAAGGTCCCCTTATGTTGCAGTCCTACCCATAAATACAAAATGCTCAGTAAAGGCTTTAAAAATACATAAATAACATTGAAACAAAAATGTAAAAAATATTCATCTTACAACCCAGTTGCTGGTGGGTTGACTAGTCGAGAGTGACATCAATGGGCCATATGCTAGTATTTGGACTGGGGGTCTCCCTGCCTTCCTGGAGGCCCCCTAGGCTGTATTTTATGTCTTTTTTTAAAAATAAATTTTCTAGACCTTACGTACCTTCCTTACCCCAGACACCACTAAACTACTCGTACACTCCCTGATTATCTCACGCCTTGACTACTGCAACTCCCTCCTCACCGGCCTACCCCAGTGCAAGCTCTCCCCGCTTCAGACCATCCTGAACTCAGCGGCTAGACTCATCCACCTCACCAACCGCTCCACCTCTGCCACCCACCTCTGCCTCTCCCTCCACTGGCTCCCGATTGCCCAACGCATCAAATTTAAACTTCTAACCCTGACCTACAAAGCCGTTCACAACACTGCCCCTGACTACCTCACCAACCTGATCCCCAAGTACCGCCCTACCCGTACCCTTCGCTCCTCACAGGACCTCCTTCTATCCTGCTCCCTGGTCTCCTCCTCCCATGCACGACTGCAAGACTTCTCCAGGTCCTCCCCCATCCTCTGGAACTCACTGCCCCAATCCATCAGACTGTCGCCTTCCCTCCTCACATTCAGGCGCTCCCTCAAAACCCATCTCTTCAGGGAAGCCTACCCCACCCTCACCTAACGGCCATTCTCCCTCATTCCTCCCACCACTTCATCCCCCTCAGCCACTTCCTACTGTACCACTACCCCCCTCCCTCCTTGATTGTAAGCTCGAAAGAGTAGGGCCCTCTTACCCCTCGTACGTTGTTTGTTATTGTTGTACTGTGCCATGTATTGTCCCCCTATATTGTACAGCGCTGAGCAAACCCTTTGGCGCTATATAAACTCGATGTAATAATAATAATAGATGGCTTCAGGTTTGTCACATGGCACACTGAGTTCTCTTTCCTCCTTTGGTACTCCTTGTGGTGGGCAGTCCTTTATAAGAAGAAAGTGGTGCTGATGTGATAACATCAACACCCTACTGTACATTATTGGATGTGAGTGTGAGGTGCCATGGTGTTACTCCCCAGTAATGGACAGTCTCAGGATGCCCTCAATCATTGAAACTGAAAAACTAAAGAAATAAGCATGAATGGCACCCCAATGCACTAAGGCAACAAGGGTCTGATGCAAATGTATTGCCGTGCACCACTATGTAGAGTAACACACTATCTTACCTTGTGGTGCACTGTGTCTAGAAAAATACTGCATGTCTATGCTAACACAACACACCAGACTAGCAACATGTGAATGGTTCCTTTAATTCCTGCTGGAGGAATGTTTTTAAACAAAGACTTACTGCCCAGAGTTGGGTCTTAAAGCTGACACCTGCGCGTTTTCTTTTAAAAAAGTCAAGTCCAAGGGTAAAAAAAATAATGTGAATGGTTCCTTTAATTCCTCCTGGAGGAATGTTTTTAAAACAAAGATTATAGCCCAGAGTTGGGTCTTAAAGCTGACTCCTGGGCATATTCTTTTAAAGGTCAGGTCCAAGTGTAAAAAAAATAAGCTGTGTCAGCAGCAGGATTGCTTCGGTATAGTTAAAACAGAACTTCACTTTCTCATTCAACATTGACTATTTTTTATACTTATTCTGGTAGCATTAGTAAATAGATAGGGAAGCATATCATATTTACTTGTTTTAAACTTTCTTTTTATATTTCTTAAGTTACTGCCTGGTTTCCAGGCCTAGGAAAATGATGTCATACATCCCAGGAGTTTTCAGGAGAGAAGGCGAGGTTATCTGAGCTAATCACTCCCTTCTGCCTGCATGCTTGAGCTATAGGCAGATGGGTTCCAGGAAGTAAATGCTAAATGCATCATCTGCTTTTACTCAAGATGGCCTCAGTCAGAAATGCTAGGTGAGTGTTTATTCAAAATTATTTCTCACCATATAAAGCATAGAGATATGGATGGGTGTGTGAGTTTGCTTTGAATATTATAAATTAATAAATAGCTTTTTTGGTTTGTGGTGCTCAGATGAAGTGTAGTTCCACTTTTAGACAAGTCCCAGTTCCACCATTGTAACAGCCAGTAAGCTGAAGTCCTGTAAACCTGGTAACCTCTGCATAGTACAGTGCTACTATCTACCACAACAGTCACACATCACTCTGCCTATGATAATGGTCCCCAGACCAATAATGTAGTTATTATCAGGTGGCTTGTTTTAAAGAGAAAACAAAGGTACCTCCAGCAGCTTATAATACAGGGATACTTTCTGCCTAGCAGGTAACCCCTCACAGATCACTTGTCCTCTTCAGTTCAGGGCTGACCATTCCATTTAGGTCATGAGGGGAACCCCAAAACCAAGGCCTCACCGTGGCCTAGAGACAACCTCAGCTGGTGCTCCCATGTCATCCAACACAGCTACCCAGAGTCCCAAGTTATTGAACCATTTGAGAGGAATATCACATCACTGCCATCACAAACACAGGGCGACAACCAGTCTGGCTAAACCAGAGCAGCTTACACCACCACCAAGCCCATACTCTTCACAGGCATCTGTCCTTTCTCTTCTACACATACACTATATTGCCAAAAGTATTGGGACGCCTGCCTATACACGCACATAAACTTTAATGGCATCCCAGTCTTCCCAGTCCATAGGGTTCAATTTTGAATTGGCCCACCTTTTACAGCTATAATAGCTTCAACTCTGTCCACAAGTTTTAGGAGTGTGTCTATGGGAAGGTTTGACCATTCTTCCAGAAGCACATTTGTGAGGTCAGGCACTGATGTCAAACGAGAAGGCTTAGCTTGCAGTCTCCACTCTAATTCATCCCAAAAGTGTTCTATCAGGTTGATGTCAGAACTCTGTGCAGGGCAGTCAAGTTCCTCCACCCCAAACTCGCTCCTCCATGTCTTTATGGACCTTGATTTCTGCACTGGTGCGCAGTCATGTTGGAACAGGAAGGAAGGGGCCATCCCCAAATTGTTCCTACAAAGTTGGGCGCATGAAATTGTCCAAAATGTCTTGGTATGCTGACGCCTTAAGAGTTTCCAGTGTCCTTCACTGGAACTAAAGGGCCAAGCACAAACCCTGAAAAACAACCCCACACCATAACCCCTCCTCCACCAAACTTTACACTTGGCACAATGCAGTCAGGCAAATACTGTTCTCCTGGCAACCGCCAAACCCAGACACGTCTATTGGAGTGCCAGAAGCATGATTTGTCACTCCAGAGAACATATCTCCACTGCTCTAGAGTCCAGTGGTGGCGTGCTTTACACCACTGCACCAATGCTTTGCATTTCACTTGGTGATATAAGGCTTGGATGCAGCAGCTCGGTCATGGCAACCCATTCCATGAAGCTCTCTACGCACTGTTGTTGTGCTAATCTGAAGGCCACATGAAGTTTGGAGGTATATAGCTATTGACTCTGCAGACAGTTGGCAACTTCGGCACACTGTACACTTCAACATGAGCTGACCCCGCTCTGTCATTTTCTGTGGCTTACCACTTAGTGGCTGAGTTGCTGCTGTTCCCAGTTGCTTCCACTGTTATAATACCACAAACAGGTGACCTTGGAATATTTAGTAGCAAGGAAATTTCACAGATGGACTTATTGAACAGGTGGCAACATATCACGGTACCACGCTTACATTCACTGAGCTCCTGAGAGCAACCCATTCTTTCACAAATGTTTGTAGAAGCAGTCTGCATGCCTAGGTGCTTGATTATATACACCTGTGGTCATGGAGGTGATTGGAACACCTGAATCCAATGATTTGGAGGGCGGACCCAACACTTTTGGCAATATAGTGGAGGGTCTTCTATCAAGATCATTTCCCAGGAGAAGAATAAATATCCAGACATGATTGTAATTCTTCTTATAGGAAGGCAATTCTTTACTTGCGTCAGAACAAAAAATGCAAAGTTCCAAAGGTAAAACAACGGCAGAAAGAGCAGCTGTTCCACTACAACCATTCTGTTCCCCATTATTTCAAAAACTAAAATTTATCCAGTACACAGTGCTGGTAAGACATGACATAACATCCTTCCCAATAAAGGCCTCAAGCTATCCGAATCTGCAGTGTCAATAAGGAGCATATCCCATGCTTCCCAACAAGGGGTGCACCCATGCCCACTACCCACAGCATTCCAATTACAGTGTATATGTGAAGTCCCCACCTCAGCACCTCCTCAATGTCCTTATACACCAGACCCAATGCTGAAAATTGACAGGGAAATTGCCCAGCAATCACTAGGGCAGAGCCACAATTTGAAGAATCCTACAAGTTTATTACCGTATTTTCTGGCGTATAAGACGACCCCCTACTTTTCCTGTTAAAATATAGGGTTTGGGCTATACTCGCCGTATAAGACTACCCCATGTCACTGACCCCCCAAATGTCACTGCCCTCCCCATGTCAGGCCCCCCATGTCACTGCCCCCCCCCCATGTCACTGTCTTCTCCATTTCAGGCCCCCCATGTCACTGCCCCCCCTCATGTCACTGTCCTCTCCATGTCAGTGTCCCCCCTCATGTCACTGTCCTCTCCATGTCAGTGCCTCCCCTCGTGTCACTGTCCTCCCCATGTCACTGCCCCCCCAATGGCACTGTCCTCCCCATGTCACTGACCCTCCTACATGTCACTGTCCTCCACATGTCACTGACCCCCCCCCCCCCCCCCACATGTCACGGCCCCCCCATGTCACTTCCCCCCCACATTTCACTGTCCTCCCCATGTCAGGCCCCCCCACTGTCCTCCCCCCACATGTCACTGTCCTCCCCATGTCATCCCCCCCACATGTCACTGTGCTCCCATGTCAGTCCCCTCCCTCATGTCACTGGCTTTCCACATGTCACTGTCCTCCGCATGTCATGCCCCCCATATGTCACTGCCCCCCCACATGTTATGGCCACCCATGTCACTGACCCCCCCACATGTTAGTGTCCTCCCCATGTCACGGCCCCCCCCCCCATGTCACTGTCCTCCCCATGTCACAATCCCCCCCCCCCATGTAACTGTCCCTCTCTCCGATCGATGATGCTCCCCAATACACATCTTTGATCCATCTTGCTGGAGCATCGGTGGCGGATAGTGATCCGCGGGATCAGCGGGTGTGTTTATGTGTGATCAGCAGTGCAGCAGAAAAGGGGTTACCTATGTCAGCTCGATGCTAATGTTGTTGACCGGCGATCGGCTTCTTATGCCTAAAACTGTGACATGTGCAGTTGCTTCAAGGGGGACAGATCTTCACGGGAGACAGATCTTTCCTCTACACTGGTAAGTTTCAGCATGCCGCATACCGGCGTATAAGACGACCCCCGACATTTGAGAAGATTTTCATGGGTTAAAAAGTCGTCTTATACGCTGGAAAATACGGTAAATATTACAATTCTAGTGCATATAAGCGCATGCTGAGGATTCTAGAACTCCTTTAATCTGAGATCTCATGGTTTGTCTTCAATGTTTCTGTATTATTTAACTTTGCTTGTATTATCCAGTCTACTTTATATGGTACCATGGGTGATTATGTCCATGTCTTCTGATGTTTACATTTTAGATCTATGTCTTATTACTGTCACCTATAGTAACAAAAACCAAACTTAGTTGAGTCAAGTTGTGAGTACATGTTTCTTCTAGTCTTTGCTGTTGGCAAGTGACCCCTTTTGTGTAGACTCATGTATGGTGTACAATTAAGACAGACTTGTTTAGATAAGTAACATAAAATAAAGGAATTATGTAATTAGTACTTGTCAGTTATTTTTTTTGAAGGAAAACTCTGCAAAATAGTATTCAGTAGAGGGAAGTTCAGAATTCTGCAGAAATTATGCTAACCTCTGTGACCTCAGTTAACTGATCTGCAGAGTTAAAGCTAAACTCCAGGTAAGCAGCTAAATACGCAAACCATAATAAACATACATCTGTGAACTGTCTTGACTGCCAAAGGTTTGACTGAAAGCAGCACTGTCAGGAAAAATAAACTCTGCCAAAAATCTCTCCCTTCAAAAGAAGAGTAAAAACCTCTTTAGTTGCTTGAACCACTAAACACCACTCCTCCGAAAATATTCCACAGAAATCTGCTGAGAATCAGGAGTGGTGATCTACTGGTGCTCCGCTATGCTCATTGGTTCTCCCACCAAACTTTATATCACTAATGCCACAGACACTTCTAGTAGGCTTATAAAAAAATGCCTGGTTGGGATGACCAAAGATGGGAAGGTTTCTGACAAAGAAGGACTGACACTAGGACTACATTCTGCTCTCCAGGCTCAGACAATAAAAAAAAATAGATGATGTAGGACACAAGAGTGGAAAGCTTGAATCCCCTTTCAAACATGAAAAAAGAACCACTGGTGACCAGCATAGCTTAGACATCCTGCCTCCTTAGAAGGGACACATTTATAGAGCAAAAGAGGCTATTGCCCCAGGCCCTGATGTAAGGGGACATTGTGATGGGGAACCCTAATGTACAGTATATAGGCACTGTGATGGGGGAAACTAATATATTTAGGCACTGTGATAGGGAAAGCTGATGCAGGATGCAGGAAGATGGTAGGGGCCCCAGTGCATTATTTTGCCCAGGGATCCATGATGCTATTAATATGGCACTGGGGATATGGTGTAGGAGATGGTGAAAGAATTCCCCCAACTGACATTTTTTGTGCCAGGTATAATCCTGCTCTTCAGTTAAAGTGAACATACCATGCACTTTATACTTCATGTTATGTGCATACAAGCCCAGTAGTGTATAAATGTAAAACTTACAGGATATTATCACCTCTCATTGAGATCACAATACTGCTCACAATGCCTTCACCTGTCTATCTTTCCAGAAGGATGGAGCAATCTTTGTTATTAATTAGAGTCAATGCTCTCAGATGAGATATTGAATCTGAGATGACACAATCATGTAAGTTTTGGTGTGTGCGCAGTTTTTGAATTTGTTCACAAATGTCAGATCAGTCCCTTCTACAGCTTCCTACCTTGTGACCTACCTCAAAATTACAATGTTGAAGTCTGATCCCTGGGCAAAAGGAGACTGAGGAAATCCTTCCCCCTGCCCGCAACAGACTGATGCCACCATCTCAGGATAGGCTATTAAATGTTAAAAGTTGAATTTATGTAATAGAAAATGAAACCCTTGTTGAATATTGTGACGTTAGAATAGTATCCAATGCAACTTATAAAATTATTGAACCTTTGCACAGCTTCGGTGTTTGCTGGTGCTCATAGGGCAACCAGGAGTTTGTATGTCCTTAGCCAGTGAAAACATGCCGATGTCCACCTCTGGGGTACACGGTCTCACATCTGCACGATGCAGAAAGGGAGGTTTGATGCCGTACACAGTAACCGTTCACCTCAGAAGGCAAAACAGGAAGAGGAATTTCCACTAATAACACGGAACTCTAATGAGGGAAACATTTGGTCAGCCTTGCCTTTTTCTCTCCCAGTAACAGGATGTGCACAGTACATGCAGTCCTCTCTCCAGAGCATTGATGAGTAATTGCAAAAAATGTCTATGTTATTATTTAATTTAAAACATTTTGCATAGCAGGATATTACATCCTTCCCTATTAAGCCTCCTCTCATGCTTTATTCAATAGTGAGCCCAGCATGTAATTATAGGCTTAAAATAGATTGGTATCTCCTCAGAAATTATTGTAGATTCATTTGGGGGAATATCATTCTGCAATACAAGGAGATTTTTAATGAAAGCTTTATCTCCTTGAGAGACCTATGTCTGATTTTTTTCATTATTTTATATTTCTTTACCATCAAGATTTGGAGGATCTGGCACCTGTCACCAAGCAGAAATGCAACTTTTACATTTATTTAAAGGGAAATTATAGTCAGACAATTATTTTCAGATATACAGTTGTATGTATGAAAAGTGTTTGATCAGCGTAATTTAAATGATCTTATTGCCGTGTGGTAGTATTTTAAAATCTATGTGTCTATATGTACGTACAGCAGTTTCTAATTATATAGACACACGCTTCCCTATTACGCATGAAGGCTCTGCTTTCCACTTGAAGCAGATCTCCAGGCTGAACTGAACCAATGACTTCAATCAATCAATTCAATCGTTCAGTCAATCAGTGTGTTGCTGCTCGCCCTTATTATCCAATCAACAATCTGGGAATAGGGAGGTGATACTACTATATTCCACCTTCTTTGAAGCCACCTGGGAAACCTAAAGTGTTACTAAACCCACAACACTAAAATCAGTCTGTATAGGCCAGGGATGTCAACCTGGTGGCTCTCCAGCTGTTTCGAAACTACAAGTACCATCATGCCTCTATCTTTGGGAGTCATGCTTGTAACTGTCAATCTTGCAATGCCTCATGGGATTTGTAGTTTGTCAACAGCTGGAGGGTCGCTAATTTGACACCTGTGGTATAGGTAGTAAAGCATACTTGTTATACTCACTATATAGAGAACCTAAGGGGTTAATCCTATGCATTGTGTAAAAAGGCTGTTTGATTCTTCCCTTCTCTGATCCTCCCCTTCTTCAAGTATCCTCAATCCATCTGCTGAAAGTACAGAGCCCTATAGGAGACACTCTGCACTTGCACAGTCAGAGAAAAATGAAAACTCCTCCTACAAGCTTTTACCAGTATATATCATAAGATGCAGCGCTACAGAAAAGGAGTACTATGTAAGGCGAATATGCCTGCATCAAATAACAAATAAATAAATGAGTCAATAAATGCAACAG